TCTCTCTCTCAATCCCTCTCTCTCTCTCTCTCTCTCCCCCTCCCTCACCCTCCTTCCCTATCTCCCGCTCTCTCCCTCCCTTCCCCCCCCTCTCTCTCTCTCCCTATCCCCCTCTCTCTCTCTCCCTCTTGACCCAAGTCACGACTAACAAGGGGAAGTTACTGCGCTCTCGTGTGTGACGCCACACAAGGGGAGGGAACTGCCGAGAGAAATGTTTTGCGACGCGGTGGAATCAGGCGCTCGTCAATTTTTGGGCATGTAGAGTTATTGGTATCGTCTTAAAGCTTGTTCTCTCTCTCTCTCTCTCTCTCTCTCTCTCTCTCTCTCTCTCTCTCTCTCTCGTTCTCTCTCTCTTTCTTTCTCTCTCTCTCTTTACCACCCCCCTCTCTCTCCTATCTATTGGATTTCGGTGGCCAAGTGGTGAGAATAGACTGATTGGTAATGTGAAACAATAATTATTAGTCTCGGTGACACTGGGTTCAGAAAGGTGCTGTTGTTTTATTCACAGCCATACCAGACAAAGAGTATGTCACTTTGATACTGAAATACTAGATGCGGGATCTACAGGCCTAGAGGTTAAGATGTTAGCCTCTCATTTAGTAGGTGTCGTGTTCGAATCCGGATAGCGAAGGAACATTTTTTTACATAGATTTCCCCCTTGCATCCCCTTTCCTGCTCTCTTGCAATCTTTCGTCTCCACTTTCTGCCCCCACCTCCTCACCTCCTTTGCCCCTCCTCTGGGCTCTGGATCTTTTCTGCAGCCTTTCTACTGCTACTCTTTGGCTCTTTGTTATTTCTGTCTTTCAGCCACACCCCTGATCCTATGATAGGAAAAATCTACACCTAGCCTTCTCGGACAAAGGCGAAAAATCTCGAAGAACCCAAGTGCAAGTTGCGCACGTTAAATATCCTTGATGTTCCACAATCGATAAGAGTAGGCTTGGGTCGCCACCCGGGCAAAATTCAAAATTTCCTTCCAATTAAAATGTTTAATGTGTCCCGCGCGCTCATGGGACCTTATGCAGTTGCGAGCACCGTAAAACACTTACAAAAAAAAGAAAAAGAAAAGAAAAGAAAGACAACACACTGTTGCTGGTTTCCATGGTGTAGCGAACTGTTTTTTTAGGTGGTCTCTTTTCATTCCTTTCTCTTTTTGAGAGAGGGTTATGTTGGCGGTTGGTGGGTGCTCTGGTGTGGTT